GCATTGTCAAATGACTTGTGCACCGAACAGTATATCATCTGAATACTGAACATAATGACCTCTGCACCTCAAACAGGATATCATCTGAACTAGAACATAATGACGGTATCACACCACAGTTTGTGTTTCACTATCTGACCATAATGATTCTGCACGAAACAGAATATCATCTGAAACTGAACATAATGACGGAATATCACACCACAGTTTGTGTTCACTACTGGACCATAAATGACTTCTGCACGCGAACAGAATAATTCATCTGAACTGAACATAATGACGGGTATCACATCACAGTTTGTGTTCACTACTGAACATATGACCTCTGCACCAAACAGGATATTCATCTGAACTGAACATAATGACGGTATCACACAACATTTTGTGTTCACTACTGAACATAATGACTTTCGGCACCGAACAGTATATTATCTGAAACTGAACATAATGACTTCTGCACCGAATCAGTATATCATCTGAACTGAACATAATGACCATCTGCACCGAACAGTACATCATCTGAACTGAACAATAATGACTTCTGCATCCGAACAGTATATCATCTGAACTGAACATAATAACGGTATCACACAACATTTTGTGTTCACTACTGAACATAATGACTTCTGCACCGAACAGTATATTATCTGAACTGAACATAATGACTTCTGCACCGAACAAGTATATCATTGAACTGAACATACTGACTCTGCACCGAACAGTACATCATCTAACTGAACATAATGACTTCTGCACCGAACAGTATACATCAATCTGAACTGAACATAATAACTGGAATGCATATGACTTTTGTGCACACTGAACTGAACAGTATCTGCACGGAAGCAGTACAATCTGTGAATGAAACATAATGACGTCTGCACCGAACAGTATATCATCATTATTGAAAACAAAAATAAAGATTCTGCACGAACAGTATATCATTGAACTGAAATATGACTTGCACGAAAGGGAAAACATTGAATGAACATTGATTTTTCCGAACAGTATATATTGAAGACATAAAAAGGTTACACAAATTTTTTGTTTCATACTTAAAAGAATGACCCCTGCACCGAAAGTTTCATATCTGAATGAAATAATGAATACTATTAACATTTTTTTTTTACGCTGAACGTCTGAATAAAAACCCAAAACGTTCATTTCACTGAAAAGAAAAAGGATACCCCAATAAAACCTTCCCGCCAAAAGAAATGATGTACATTAAAAATTTATTTTTCATGGTTAACATGATAGAAGAGCTTTTACCCAAAATAAACTGTCATACCCTAAAACATATCTTTTTTAAATCAAAAATAATTGTGTTAAAAGTTTTGTTTTAAGAACTGAATAAGATTATGACCCCAAATAATTATTGACTGAATAAATCGTTTAGCAACAAAATTAACTTAAAAATGAGCGCTTTGGATTTACCAGTTTTGGGATTTTTTACCAGTATTGTATTTTGGTCACAGAATCACATTTACCATGTTATGTCATTCTAAAAAAATAAAAAGTGGGTTCCTAGTAACCAAATTGTGATAAAAACATTGGGGTATTTTCTCTACCGAAAATTAATCAAAGTGTTGGTTTAAAAATTTCCCCCAAATTTTTTTTTTCAATCAGATTTACAGATATTCAGTCGTTAGTGATGATGTGTCCCCATCATTTTTTATGATACTATTATGGGTCGTGTGATTTGTTTTTCATTTTGGGAAAATATCACCCAAAAGGGAAATTGTTGGAAAGAAATGTTACGTGTAAACAATTAATATAATTTATTTTGGTACAACGTACATCCCTCTCATTTTCTTGTTATTTCGAAACAAGGAAATGTTTGTAAAAATTGTATGCCACCAATGACAGACAATAAGTCATGTGTTTAGTAATTGGTTGGTGGACGTAAGGATCGATATTTGTGAGGAATAAATTATCAATAATGCATAATTTCTCGATTTTCCTTGTTTATTCTATTTATCAAACCACGCTTTCTTCTAAATCGGAAATACATAATTATGTCTTACACCACTAAAAATAATACTTCTTTCAACAAAGGCTTATTTGATTAGAAACTATAGTTCACTCTTAAGGACATAGCCCCAAACAACATTGATCGGTCTTACCGTTCAATAACGATAAACAAAGTTTTATTAAACGATCAATTATCATTCTATCTGACAATTATTTAACGATAAGTATCTAAAAATGTACTCGAATTATAGATTAAAATCAGTTTTTTTACGATATCTTTACTAGATTAATACTTAACTATCCAGAAACAAATTGTACTTTTCTCATAATTGAAACGCCATATGAATACAATTAAAATACAAATGTACATGTTGTTATGCATTTCCTATCAAAATCTAAATAACCTTTTAACTTTAAAATGTTACCTCATTCAATTTTCATCAATTTTTTTTCAAATACTTGCAAATTGTCATTCATTTACAGTATTCACCATAATTACACAAAATAAAGTAACATTTGACTTTATACCTAAACTTAGTAGTTCCTACGTTTTTTATCTAATAATATATACATATACCTAAATACACATCATCTTTAGTTTTGCTTCAGTCTGTATATGATAACATTCTCTACAGTAAATATACTTTTTTAAGGGGAAACAATCCAATTTACTTTAACAAACATTCTAATGCAGTGATTACTTCCCTTATCACATTTGAAATTGTAACACACACAAACAAATATAAATAAATTGCTGATTAAACATAAAACAACCTATCACTCTTCAAACCAAAAAAATGTCAGACCGAACTTAATATTTGATGTTTAACTAAGATTTCAACAAAAAAACATGATAACATGAATAAAGTATAATCAGGCTTTAAGTGAAACAGAACGTTAGTATAAAGAATGACAGTGTATAGAAATGTACATACATGTAAATCATAATTATTTTGTGAAACTGGAATAACTATTTAAAATGTCTTCATCATTCTATCTACACATGACAACCCTTTGTACAGTATACAGCAGTAAAAGTATGTTCTTAAAAACAAAATGTCAAACATTTTTGATAATTGATATATTTAATTAACAATAATTTTAACAGCAACTGTTTTCTCCAGTTCAATTTAACTTTGCTACAGTTTAAAGAAATACAACCCACGCATAGTCAACAAAATCAGCATTTATCTGAAATGTTAAAGTCTCGCTAAATATTTCTTTAATTAACATGAAAATGTATTTTAGAGTCTTTGCAAATCTGCACCATCTTTCGAGTTCTTTCATTCTTCCAATTATATGTACCATTTATGAAAAACTAAATTTTATCATGAGAGGGTTCTGGGGATTATTATGCCCCTTAACAATATGTCTCTCATCATATTAATCTTTAAAAAAAGACACTGGGAATTATTATGCGGGCCTCCTTAAACACTATGCCTTTATTTTTTATTACATTAAATGTTAATTTTAACAACTTTTCTGTTTACTATTTTTTTGCATAAATGAGTTACTAACAACTTTTGCTTGATTCTGCAACAAGAATTAAACGCGAAATTGGTCGTCGAAATACATTCCTCCCAACTTGAACATCTACAAACGAACATGTCCATCTGGACCGTGGAACACTTTTGTCACTCGGCCGAAAGGCCAATGCTCCCAGGTTGGGTGTTTGGATCAAATCTATTAAAACAAATATCGTCCGGCTTTAAAAAGTCAAGTGATGTTTGAAACCATTTTAGATCGAAGGATCCCGCGAGTTGGCAAGTATTCTCTAAAAGCCAACCTTTTCCAGAAATGGCGTTAGGAGTTCCCTCTGGACATACCGCCATCGGCTTTTTAACATTATAGCGATCATTGTCAATAATATCTGGAGCGAATTGTCCACCAAGCTGGCCATTCAAAAAATGATTAGGCGGTTAACGCAGGGTATTATCATTTTAGGGGTTTGATTGGTCTGGATACGTTAAAGGTCTGCTGTTAATCAAGTTTTCAGCTCAAACGACTGCTGTTACTAATTCCTCATCTGTGATATCCGCGTTCCCAAAATCGCATATTATACCGCTTTCTTTGCCGATTTTCACCATAACTTCATGACATCCGCCAAAATGTGGTGCATTTGGTGGAATGAATTTCCGCTCAATTTTTTCTAATTTACAGCACTTCACGATAACACTTTTGATCAAGTTTCTTGTATCGATCTTTGAGTTCGTTAACACAACCGCCGCGCGCGACAAAATTTGGGTTCCATTAACAGAATTATAACAACACTTGGAACACCTTCTTTATACGACTTTTGATAAATCTAGTTAAAGCGTTGAGAAAAGAGTTAGTGTCCAAGCTGTAAGCTATTTCAAGATGTACAGCTCTTACAGTTATACATGTAAATACACAAAGGTAACGCTTAAGTCTCGTTTTTCCACAGTCCCTTGTTTTGTAAGTGAATGGACCCGGCATAGTCTACAGCAGTATTGGTAAATGCTCGCATCGATTGTCCAAAGCGTTTTAACTGGCAAAGCGCTTCCATAAATCTGATTTGAACCTGTGCCTTGCTTCGTTTTACATTAAGCCACATTGATTTTTCCCAATTTCTTATTTCTTCAGCGGGCTGATATGAATCTAATATCTACCAGACAATTTGGCAAATGTCAAATTCGTGCCCCCATGGCATGTATTTTCATGACAATTATTAACTATCAATTTTGTCACCCAATGCTTCCACGGTAGAATGATTGAAAATCTAGCACCATAGAAGATTTAGTCTACAAACTAAAATCTTGTGTCACTTCTCATTACTCCTTCAGAGTCCAGTTTTGGATTTAACGGTGCAAGTTTACTACTTGAAGATACATTTTTTCCTTTTTTAAGGCACTGATATTCAACACTGAAACATTCTGCTTGTGCAGTTTGAATACTCTTATATTCTGCTTGTTCTATTTCTTGAACACTCAGTTCTAATGATAATCTACGTGCATTTTTGGCAACTTGACAATTATCGATGAATCGATGAGCCCAAGCCGAAATTCGTACTAAAAGATTCCAATCAGAGTACCTGTTGGTTCGAGTCTAAAGTCATTATTCTCACTTAACGTCACATAGCTGTTATAAGCCGACTTGCGTATTATTTCTACTTTGGCCACATCATATATTTCCATTTTGTGTTCTGGCCATATTTCCGGAATATTTTCAATAAAGTCTGGGCCATGCCACCACTTAGGGTTTCCAGCCAGTTCTGTTATCGACGTTCCACGTGATGCAAGATCTGCAGGATTCTCTTTTGTGGATACGTATCTCCTTTGACTAGGTGAAGTATGTGAATGAATGAATCCTACACGATTCGCAACAAATGTCTTATACTTCCTGCTTTGACTATGAATCCAATACAGAACAATCATGCTATCGGACCAGAATATACACTGGTGAATGTTTATTTTCAATGATGAACAGATTGCTAATGTCAATGTTAATCCAAGTACTGCAGGTAGAAGTTCCATTTTCGGAATACTTAATGATTTTAATGGAGCGAATATTCCTTTTGCAGCAAAACTTTTAGGCTTATGTAAAGCTGATGTACACTACCGATCCATACGCTTCACTTGATGCGTCAACAAATATATGAAGTTCGGTGTCTTCTGATGCATGGATACACCTTTCAACTTTGACAAGTCTTTAAATTCACTGTGCCACTGCTTAATGTCACAAGCTAACATTTCAGGCAATTCAATGTCCCAATCTAATCCTGTCAGCCAAATTTTCTGCATTATCATTTTTGCTCTCACTGTGAATGGAATTAAAAAACCTAAAGGGTCATAAAGAGCAGCAATTCTTCTCAATACACTTCGTTTAGTTATTTTCATGTCTGATCTGGACTCCGTATAGCTCTATGTAAATTCATCCGAATCTGACTTCCAATTTAAGCCTAATGTTTTAACTGTTGGCAATTCACTTTCTGAAAAATGCTCTCATTTCTACAGGAATTTTATTTAATACTTCTGTGGAATTTGACTGCCATTTCTTGCGCACGAACCTGCTTTTTACTAAAGTTCAGTCAATTCATTTTACAATTCAATTCCTTTTACTTCATTTTCCACGGAATTCCTACTCTGCCATATATGTGCATTTATGACTGTTTCTGCTGCAAGAGGATATTTCTTTTCAAATGTGTTGGCATTTAGCTGGGTGACGTACTGTGCTAAAAATTGCGATTCATTAACACCGAAAACAAGTCTATTAAATTCATATGGATCTACTGGATGTTTTGGTGATTTTCTCCAAAGAAATCTATGATAAAGTCTGTCTGGAGGTGATAATCCTACTTGCATTTCCTGAATGTCACAAATTATGGCAATATCATTTCTTCGAAATCTGAGCAATACTTCAAATAGATCGTTATGCAATTTCGGTCCCTGATGAATCACATCGTTCAATGACAGTGAGTTATGCTTGGCTGAGGCATCAAAAACAATCCAGACTTTTGCAGTTTCCTTATCAAGACGTATAACCGGAAAATGTGGCAAAGTCCATTGAGTATTTTTAAATCACTTTCAGTCAGTTTAGAAATATAACCTTTAATTTCATAATTGTTAACAATGTCATCATAGCAAGCTTTTAATCTTTCAAATGCCATTTCATAGTTATTTTTCAATTCACTTTGGTTTTCTTTCCAAGGCACCGGAACCTGATAACTATTGCTTTCTTCATCATACACTATTTCACTTTTCATCATTTTTATTATTTTCTCATCAGAAATCATCTTTTATTAGCGTGCCCCACCATTTTATTTCTTAAATTTAGTACTGCGCCCCCGCGGGGGGACGTTTTATTTATTTAACAACGCATTGCGCTCCGCTAATTTACGTGTATCGTTCTGCGCAAACGCCATTTTAATTCTCGACTTTTCGCTTGGCGGTGAGAACACACGAATAGCACAAATCAGCCACCATATGTGAAAGAACTTTATCAGTATATACTGATTTTTAGATTTAACATATCAGGAAACATTAAATTTTGAGCGCTGAATATAAAATTATTATCGAAATAGATTATTTGACCTCTAATAAATTAAAACCCGTAAGTTCCATTGTAAAGAACGGTATAGGTGTAAAAATTAGGCATTAAATGGTGAAATGAAATTCGATAGTTCCCCGAGCAAATTACTGCTTTAACGTTAAATTGTTTTAAGACATGGTTATCTGATATCAAAAAATAAAAAAGCGTTTAGATGATTTTGGGAAAGCGGGAAACCAATAAGACAGTGTCGTCTGCAGCCTCATTGCAATTTCATACTGTTTTCTTAATTTTGTGACTTATTTTATTTGACAACAAATATGTTTCATGTAAACAGAGATGGTTGTCACTTTGGTTAATTATTTTTTACAATCCTTTAGTTTGTTTACCTCTTATAGGGTATACATTTTAGCTTAATCTAATGATATACATTGTATTTTTGTAACATCATAAAAGATCCTGTGCAAACTATAATGCTGCTATTTCAAGTAAGTTTGTTTTTACTGTTTAGCAATCATTTCGTACAAGAGTCATTCGCTCGTAAGGAAATATACAAATATAGTTCTTTTTCTCACATGTATTTCAAAGAATTCATGTTCATTTGTTGACATTTTATTGCTAGGTATCACATTATTCCCATAATAACATTGCCGTAAATTGGAAAAAAGATTATATCATTTTTGTGTCGCCTCTACGGAGTAGTGGCGACATATAGGGATCACTTCTTCGTCGTCTGTCTGTCCGTCTGTCTGTCTGTCTGTCTGTCTGTCCGTCTGTCCGTCACAAAACTTGTCCGGACTACTCCTCATAAACTACTGGTGCAATTTCATCCAAACTTACCAGGAATGATCAGTACCAAGTCTAGTTGTGCACATTGTCAGCATTTTCCGGTTCAATGATTTTTGTCAGAGTTATGGCCCTTTAAAAAAATTTAATTTTAAAGTTTGTCCGGACTACTTCTCTTATACCACTTATGCAATTTCAATGAAACTTTACAGGATTGATTTGTAGCTCAAGTTCTTGCGCATAGTGCACGGGTTTTCCGGTTGAATGATTTTTGGCCAAGTTTTGGCCCTTTGATAAAAAAGATGTTTTTTTCTGTGTGTTGCCAGATACACAAAAGCTTGTTCGGACTACTCCTCATAAACTACTAGTGCAATTTTATCTAAACTTTACAGGAATGATCAGTACCAAGTGTAGTTGTGCATATTGTCAGCATTTTCCGGTTCAATGATTTTTGTCAGAGTTATGGCCCTTTTATAATTTTTATTTTTAAAGTTTGTCCGGACTACTTCTCTTATACCACTAATGCAATTTCAATGAAACTTTACAGGATTGATTTGTAGCTCAAGTTCTTGCGCATATTGCACGGGTTTTCCGGTTGAATGATTTTTGGCCGAGTTATGGCTCTTTGTTAAAAAGGTGTTTTTTTCTGTGTGTTGCCAGATACACAAAAGCTTGTCCGGACTACTCCTCATAAACTACTAGTGCAATTTTATCCAAACTTTACAGGAATGATCTGTACCAAGTGTAGTTCTGCATATTGTCAGCATTTTCCGGTTCAATGATTTTTGTCAGAGTTAGGCCCTTTAATAATTTTTATTTTTAAAGTTTGTCCGGACTACTTCTCCTATACCACTAATGCAATTTTAATGAAACTTTACAGGATTGATTTGTAGCTCAAGTTCTTGCGCATATTGCACGGGTTTGCTGGTTGAATGATTTTTGGTCGAGTTATGGCCCTTTGATAAAAAGGTGTTTTTTCTGTGTGTTGCCAGATACGCAAAAGCTTGTCCGGACTACTCCTCATAAACTACTGGTGCAATTTTATCCAAACTTTACAGGAATGATCAGTACCAAGTCTAGTTGTGCACTGTCCGTCTGTCACAAAATTTGTCCCAACATGAAATTGGCCATCATGAGGCGACACATGTGATTACTGATCGCTCTTGTCATAAACAGAATACATAAAGAGAAAAGGTGTTTAAAATCATTAAACGCTGTTTTCGCCGGTCATCCATGACAGAAGAAGGTGGTCGGGAGGTCAAAAATATAATACCGGGATATACTTTTTGTTTATCGATGCGTACACAAGATGGATAGATGATGTTATCAGGTATTCAGTACTGTAATTTCTAACTTAATTTATGGGAGAACTTTCACCATATATTAATGGTTTAAATAAGTACATGTTTGCGTTGAGTTTTATTTGTGTATGAACTATATTTAATGTTTCAGAGTTTGAACAGTTTTATGTGCAGTGTATATTTTAAATGATGGAAATTTGATATACGAATGAATCTTTTTTCACATTATTTTCACGGGCATGAAGTATTATCAAATGTAATAATATTTTATGAAATGAAATGAAAGGTAAAAATACGTTGTTTAAATAATCTAACCGTCAATTCTTGAAAGAGTTGCAACATAGAATGTCTCACATGGGTATTGCACGAAAACAAAATAAACTGGTCTATAATAAGAAAGAATGCTGCCATTTTATAAAGGGGTTTTTGGCTTGTGAATTATCACTAGAACATAGTTAACGTTTTTTCGATGTCGCCCAGTTTACTCTGTCTATCGTTGCCAAAACTTTGTGCCATTCTTGATATTTAATAAAACACAAAACCTGAAGAAGTGAACGAATGATGATCAAGACAGGAATGATTGAATGTTTGCATAGTTCACAATATTTCCCCACGTCCCCTTTCATCAGTGCAAACTGTATAATTATCTATGACATTATCAGGCTGTTACAGATATCAAGTATAATTTTACTCTGCACTTTGAAAAAAAGTTTAGTTAAATTTTTGTAAATGCGTCATTTGCTGTGAAGGAAAGAAAGAAACCTTTTTATTTCCTATAGGTTATAAACGTGCAGAAATACAAAACGTTTGACGATACTACATACATTTAATATATTTTAGTATAAGTACCCTTTATGCTGTCAAACAGCGTTAAGTATGTTGATAATCAGATGTAAATGTTTGTAATACTACATGTGTGTAACGTCGCTTTTCATTGGATAATCTTGATCTATATTGCCTTTCTGCACTGCTACTGTAAAATCATGAATAATTTGAGTCCCCCTGCCCCCCCCCCCCCCCCCAAAGTAATTCTGCTGTTTTGTAAATTTGTATAATAAAGATGTCTGGCAAGTTATGGACATGTGTTAATTAGATTCATTCTATGTATTTTGTTATTCAAACAAAGTATAGATCAGACAGTTCAAATAAACTTATTAAATTTTATCTTTGATGTACGTTTTTGTTAGAATCAGTCACTTAAAATTAAGGTCTGGGACTAATTTGTGGCAAGTTTATAAAAGCAAGTTTATAACATTTCTTTTTCAGTTTTAGGGACATTTACATTTTATTCCAGTTGTTTACCCGAAAGAAAAACGATTGTCAACAATTCAACAGGAATAAATGGTACATACTTGCATGAAGTATGGTATATTGCCTGGTATACTATATCGTGTGGTATGGTATAGTATAGTTATAGCATATGTTAATATATGGTATGAGATATTGACTGGGACATGATTTAGTATGAATTATGCAATTGTATATACTATATTATAGAATGCGAATGTCATGGTATACATGTATAATTTCGTTTGATATGTATTTAGCATGATATCAGTTATAATTTGTTCTGTTTTAGGTATAGTTGTAAGGCATGATATACAGTGCGTTGCAGACAAATTAAATCGAATGCAGCAAGTTGAAAATTTTAATAAAGAAAGAAATTTACAGGACACAAACAGGAGTAATAAATATACATTTATTTAAAATAATGTAAAAAGGATATGCAATGTAAAATCACTTCTCAAATTTAAAAGAAAAAAAACATACATTGTATAATAATAATAATAAATACATAAATAATAAATAATAATAAATAATAATAATAATAATTTGAATAAGGCATTTACAACAAGTTAAAAAAATTATTTTGAAAATTCAAGAACACAAAATCGTTCAATCAATATGTACATGTCTTTGTTATCTACAAAATATTATAAATTGATATGTAAATTAGTTTCATTTGTTTAACTGTTAATGTATAATAATAATTTTAATATCATAAAATGACAAGGCATTACATGGCACAACAATAACGCATCTTGCATATAATATCATCAGTTTAAAGACACGGTCATTCGTGTCGCGCTATTGTAATAAAAAACAAACTCTAGAATTTTGCAATAAATGAAATGCAAACATATTAAAACAATTAATTGCACTCTTAATAAATCTGTAGAAAAAGTTTTAGTAAGCCTTTTTACAAATTGTTATATCATTTTTTGCAGTTCTATGTTTTGTTTGAAGGCAATCGATTTTATGGTAGTTTGAGTGAAATGTTGATTTGCCGAATATTGTGACATTTTAACGAACATTGTGACATTTTAACAGAAACTTTCGTCTGCAAGTTAACATGAGTTGTTATGGGTTTATTGATAGGAATGTAAACACACTGATTGATCAGACGCTGTTTGAAGTAATTCATAAGTAGTAAATTGACCTCCCTATAAATTAATTAACATACTTTCATTTTGACTACTATTTTGTATGTTCCAAAGGAAATACCATATGAACCTGAATTTCTATCAAATAATCAATATTAATGATAAAATCCAAAAATACTCCCTATATTGTATAAATGATATTATACCATATAGGGGGACATATTTTGGATATTACAAACCTGTAAACGTTGGCTATTGTCGTTAATATTAATAGAATTTCAAGTTCCTGTGGGAAAGCATTTACTTTTCTAATCTCTAGCATGCCTATCAAAGTTCATGATGAACAATGTCTTTCGTCCGCCCATTCATAAATATTATACAATTCGGTGAAAACCAATTAACCATTGAAAAGTTTATTAGAATATCTGGTCATCAGATGTCTACAAGTTCATATTCACTTGCTGAATTTCTTGATTGGACGCCCTTTGATGCTTTGCATCAATGCTTTTCTTGTTAGCATTTTAAATGGAATCTGACGTTCGAAGTTCATGCCATCATTCTACCAGGACTGATGACGACTGCAGTATGCACACATATGATCTGTTATGTGGCACATAACTGTTTATACCAATCCGATGTCAAACAACCACCTCTCGATTAATGCCGACAGCGATGACCATAACTGAAAGAGAAATGAAATTATAGAAATGTAAAACAACAACAAAAGAAAACCCAAAAATCATTGTACATTGTACAATAGAAGAAAATTGAACCACAATCAAACTTCAATCGCATAAAATTTAAAGGCACATCAAGCGTCAATTCCAAATAAACATCTTTTTATGCCTTTCTGTAACAAGAGCAAAGCATGAACTTAATAACAGATTAAGAACATATGACAAATGCTTAACAATTGGTGATCCCGATAATAAAATGCAAACAATGTGTTTTGTCTTCCACACAGAGTCGGTTTTTTTTGTCATCCAAACAAAACACTTGAATAAAAAAGAATACAAAAGAAGCGAAAGACTTTTCATTATATAACCAATGGGTATCTTTTAGGACACTGTGACATGACATCATAAGTAAAAAGCTTTGGAAAAATGAATATAATAGCATTAATAGGCTAAGTTGGCCTTAAAATTTAAACAGAACTTGAAACGCTGAAATGCAATTTCATCAACAAGCGTGTCCCTTTCGTGATATTTGACACTTGATGAAAACATTTGTATTGCCATGATGCTAGGGCTATAAACTTACCGTTTGCTTTTCACAAATATCATCATTGATCCATTCATCCATGTCAACATAATTTTGTGCTGTTCTGTTGGCATAAAGTTCCTCACATAATCTGCAATATATGGATTTCTTCTCACGCTTATAAATGTTCATCCAATCAAAATAACTGTTATAAAGCGTTTCATTCTCTCCGACCTTGACCATCTCGTCTGCTAGTTCCTGAATACTATTGTAATCAAACACATTTAGGTAAGACTTTGGAGGCAACATCTCTAAATTGTATTTCGGTGCGGCAATAATTGGGATCTGCCCTCTATTAAATGTCAACCAAAATTTCTCAGAAACGTAGTCCCTACAGAAACTATTTTCAAAAGCTAAATAGAATTTATATACGTAGAGTTGCTTACATTCGTTCGGGGATTTCCGGTATTGACATATCACATTTCCGGAACAATCCCCAAATTCATCGATGTCAACGTATCTTTTCAATTCCCTGATTATTTTATACCTTCTTGCATCATCGTCACAATTACTTATCATGGTTGCAGCGAACTTTGTTTTAGTTTTGAAATGATTTTCAGACACTCCTTGGGAATGCGTTTCACTCATATTTATTTCATCTGGAGACATTTTAAACCAGTTTGTAAATGGGTAGTATACGGTGGACTCCCTCCTGTATAATGTCGTCCAGTTAAATCCATACTTGTTCATAGAAACTCGCATTGTATTCATTGGTTCAATACTCAGTAAAATCCAGACTTGGTTCGGTGTTCTCACATTAGGCATTGTTATAGGGAATTCATAAAGCGTGCCAATTAAAGTTCGATATTTCCACATATCATTGGCATTAAATAACACCGCGTCCGCATTCCCTACTATGTTTTTATCTCGTGTGTACATACATTTAGACGGGCAGCTTTTCATTGAATTTTCTGCTATAATCTCCCAACCCCATTCTCCGAAATAACGCGTCCAAACGACTATAGTTTTTAGAGAAGCTGGTTTCAAGTAACTGGCTCCGTAAGTGACCACATGGTCTCTTTGATTTCTATTTTTAGGTTCAGATGGTGGATTTGGGTAATATGAAAATGCTATGATGCACATACGTTTTAAAACCAATAAGAAGATTAAACAGAACAGTAACGTGGCTATCACGTTGCAAAGCCTACTCAACCGTCTTCTTCCATGATACATTGTCCATACGTCTGTGTAACAACAGTTTTCCTCAACACGTGCAGGTCATATATCAATGGATGGATGGCTATTTTGTCAACATCTAGAAAAGAAAGAAATTATTAAAAAAAACATGTGATTTAGATGGCTCTTGCCACATGTGCCTGGCGTCTAACAGACACCCTGAAACCCTTAACATTTATATATGATAAACATATACAATTCAGATAATTCTTATGAAAGATAAACGAAGGTATGAAGGGGATTTCAGGCACATGTTGTTCTTGCAACGTAAAGCAACACTTCAACACTAATATATATCATCCATAAATATCCATGTACCAGACCATTAAAATGATAACAGTTTGTCCTTAAAAATCTACATTCATTTAAAGTGGGTTGGTGTCTACAATATACGGAAGCGTCCTGGTGTCAATTTAAGATGTTATATAAAAAATTATAATATCTACGTAGGAGATAAAAAAAACTAATTAGGAGTTTATAACTCTGACGTAAGACTTTACTAGTTTTACATAGGACTTAATAACCCCTACGTCGGACTTAATAACTCCTACGTAGGACTTTATAAGTCCTACGTAGGAATTTGTTACTCCTACGTAGAAGATAATTAAAGCCTAATTTTATCTAAATCCGTTTGAAACTCGTTTTTTGTACATATTCCGAGGGTCTTTTTTTAACAAAGTGAGCATCAAGGTCCTAACCGAAGCAATTATTCCAGGAAATTTACGCGTGGCAAGGCCATTCTTTGGACCGGAGATTTGTTCTTTGTCTATATAAAGTTTCGTAAAATACACCATTTTCTAAAGCCAACCGTTAAAGTATCATTTGTTTAATTCCATTGCAAATTGGTTTTGCCGGTGCTAGGGGGCGTGGACGGTAGTTTGCACTAGACAGTACAAGATATTAACGTTGTAAGGGATAATATTCTACATGTTGCTGAAAAAGAGGAGCCGTCAGTCAATATACAGTTTAGGATATTTAGCATTTTTCATGAATACAAGACTTGAAATGAACGATATTTGCAAAATGATAAAACTCCATTAAGAATAAAAAATTGAAAACGTAAAATATATATAAAAATAATGCTGTTTTCTTTTTTTGTTGGGGTGCATAATGTATAACTTTGTGGTCTCTTTGCATTTTCTCTTTTTCCGCATTGTTACATTTTCGCATTGTTAAATTTTCGCATTGTTGCATTTTCGTTTTTTCGCATCGTTAATTTTAAAAGCAGTTATTAGACACGCGCCGTCTAGTAGATTTGCATTTGTCTATACAGCAATGGGGAAAGTTTTAGACTTGATTTTGTGTTGTTTTTTTTTTTTTTTTTTTTGCTTTTTTTTGTTTTAACAAAATCACACTGTTTTTAAATTTTCTAATAAAAATAGCTTTTCTGATATACAACATGTCACAGAGCTTAAAGGGATTAGAACAAACGTTTAACTGAAGTGATAGTGTCATGTTTGAATATCATATTCTTTTTATCATTATCTTATTTTATATACATAATGAATAACGTGCCAATGAGCCAGTCTATAGTCGATCGTTCTAAAACTTAACCGTGAGAAAGATAACGACTGGGGCAGTGTCACTCACTTCATTTGCTCCACCTCTGTTGAAGTTCAGCTCCGCCTTGAATTGTCGCCAAATTTAATATGATGCTCCGTATGCTAGCATTTAGTCTTGGTTGACGGGACGGAAGGGAACCAAGACAATTTTGATCAATGTCACTTGTCGCTTAAACCACGCCCGCTACCAGAGAGGCGGTTCTCCCTTAACTGAAAGTACGCCAAACTCTGCACACCGGTTACGCTAGGTCAATAACGGGAGATAACTGCATAACAGTTCGTCCTCAAAATCATTCTAACATTATGCAATTTGTACAAATATTTAAATGGACATATTATCGGCACATATTGTCTTGAATTTAATTATAAGTATACCAATCATTTCAAATTTACTTGTTATCCATTTTATTTTGTTTCGACCAGACGTTGCCATCTTTTATCGCAACAGACAAACAATTTGAGAATTTCAGACAAATTACATTGTGAATTTACGCATTAGGTTCTACTTTTTCACAAAAAAATGTGCAACTTAATAATTAAACAACAAGTACATACCAAGAACATGGAGAAAAAAATGATTTGTGCTTTGGATATTCAACTGTAATAAGGAGCGATTTTCAATGCTGATTGAATGTTCACATCATTTCGCGGCGTCTTTGATGTGCAGCATCAACATTTAACCTGTTATAAAATGTGTTAGAATGTGCTTGTTGATAATATTTTAATTGCATATATGAAGCATGGCTTCTACAGCTGATATTACGAAATTTACCCTTGATTACTACTCAGCATATATCTAAAAACATATTTTTTAGCTCGATTGTTAAACAAGTTCTAGCAACTTATATTAATCACTTTCGAATCCGTTTCCTGGAACCAACCAGTACTGGTGTCATATGAAGAAACATGGTCGTGAACCGAATAGGGCTCGAACCAATTGTCTCTGTTCTTATGTCGTATTGTCGCCCTTCTTATGTCGTATTTTTGCTTTTTCGCTTTAAAAATCCGAAAAACGAAATCACTAAGAGACAAACTTTCCATTCGTATAGGCAAATAAGCGAAAGCACGGCATGGCGTTAATCAGCCACCATAAATTTCTTTTTATCAGAATCAAGAAAATTAGAAGATTACGGGAAAGAACAGAATTTATCGACACAAAACCGTAAATCTAAAATGAAATATTGATTTCACATGCCTGCGTGAAACTGGAGTCCCTAGCAACGGACACAATCTTGAGATAGGTTTCAAACGTTCGTTTTAAATTACGAATCAATTAAAAGACTCATTGTTCCTGGCTTTATAATGTTATACAGTGTTTTTTCCCCTTTTTCTTCTTGATAATTGGAAAAACAAGCTTAAGAAACAGACCAATTCAGTAATAAAAAATATTTTCATTTTTATCAGACTCTTACAATTTGTTCTTATACAATAGAAAATGAAATATTAAAATTATGAAATCATGTAAACACAAACACGACTCCCTCACCCTATATGTTTTCTAATACGGCTTGTGTCACGATTAATTAAGGCATACATACCGGAATGGTAAAGTCTTCCACATAGTATCAATAAAATTATACTCATCTCAATGTATAGGGTTATGAAACAGTTTTATAATTGAATAAAATGCATTTTGATTTTCTCATTGAAAGTTACAGACAAAAACCTTTTAAATTGTGTATGCTCAGTACGACGGTAACCATCCCATTTCCAAAGTTTTTTTTTGTAAAATTTATACTATGGATATCTTAAAACGTTTCATAAGGGAAGTTTATTTCATTCAAACAGCGATTTATTATCAATGTGCAAATCAATAATCAAGAAATATTTGTTTTACAAAATAGAATAAATAGGTTACCAATTTCCAAATATGATACTTTTTTATATACTTTTATCAATAAAAAAATGTAAAAAAAATAGGGGCATACCTTTCAATTTCGGGATATGTAGAAATTCAGCGCATCGTTTAGATTTAATGATGATACCAGGAACGAAATATTTCAGTTTATTTTAGGTAAACATATACTGAATTGCAACACACACAAAGCAAACATTTACATACACAAAGAAAAGATGTAGAATAATCCACTGAAGTCGCAAATGGTATCACATCGAATAGATTAGTCACTAAAGTGCAATTTATATCTTCTATCCATAATAACTTAGTAATATCCACGAATGTCAACCCTGTCTCATCTTTAAACCTCGAAATTTTTCTAAACTGACGAGTTGATCACGAAACCACCAATTTCATCTATGTGTACGACGCATGTACCTTCCATGTATGTGATAAATAAAACACAAACAATATTGACAACGTAGCAACATGATATTTCTTAAATATAGAAAGAAATTTTAGTGCAATCCAGAACTTAACGTTTGCTGAAATTATATTTGCATTTCGATTTTACAGTAACTTTATTTCACTATCAAAACATAATTTAGAACACGTTTAAAGTGTCATAATGCCCATCCAAGTGTGAATGGTTATTACAGAGGGAAGTCAACTTAACATTAAATTTGCCATAAATGTGTTTACATTTTAAATCTAACTATGTAAAATCAATCAATATTACACGAGACCCACTCAAATTTCTAAAAATATCGCTCGGAATGTATCGGTAGGGCAAAGAGTGGGACAATCTTTTTTGTACTTTTAGGTAGTTTTAATATTTTAACCCACACATTTTTCATAACCAATAACTGGTCAATCACCATTATATAAGTCAATCTTTTAAAATATTAGAAGTTAAATTAAATTAACTTACAAAATGCCAATTTTGTTACAGTACAAGTTGTCCGTTCATGTATTGATACATATTGTTAAACCATTAATTTTTAATTGGGTCTATCAATAATGAATTGTTGGACGACTATGTATAGGTCATAACCTCTGAAGGATCTGATCAGTACTATTGACTTAAAGATATACTATGCTCAAATTTGATACAAGAAAATATTGATGATTGCTACACAGTCTCTTTGTAAATATAAAATAAACATGTTTTGACTTCACACAAAGTAGTTATGTTATGCTTAAAATTCTAAACATTATAGGTGGCCACAATATGAATATATAATGTCATTAAAAAAATCTGGCAGTTTTATTAAGAAAAGGCTAACTTTACTTGACCTGTAATAGGGAACGCAGCTTCCCATACATAGTTCATTCCTTCTTTTATTCATATTAGACATATTCAGTAAGAATTTCTTAGATATCAATGATTTCCCATGATAAAAATACTTTACTCAAGAATGAGCCTAGTATATCTTTAAGTCTCTGGTGATTATTTTTATTGGCTATAGTGATAGACGTTAACATTAAACACGCTGAATGGATTCGCCGAACTTTCAATCCGGAACATTCCTTTCAAAGATGTAGGGAAACATTATTTCAGTTTAATTGAAACTAACCAATGAAACATATATCAAGTTGTTATTTGGAAAATAAACATAAACAGTATAAAAAGTATTTGCTTTGATAAATAAAATATATAACAGAAAAAAAAGTTGCATCATATACTGTATATCAATTAGT